CCGAAAAAATTGAAGAATAATACAATTCTCAGATAAAATAAAAAACATTTCTATAGTTGTCATTAAACCTGTATCTGAAGGTCCAGTATTTAGTCGTTTCAGATGACCGACACTAACTCTAAACCGCAGAGAGACAGCGATCAGTCTTCTCTTACACGGACAGGTGTCATTAACTACCTTTATTTATTTAATAACGCTCCTCTGTGTCTGCCCAGAGCTTCTCTTGATTTACACCCGAAGCTCAGCTGTGTCATAGACTCTGAATAGGTTTGCTTGTTACCTGACTGGAGTTATTTTAAATTCCTCCGCTCAGGGCCCGTCGGACCACCATGGCGGACATCAAGAACGTGCTGTACGCCTGGTGCGGGAAGAAGAAGCTGACGCCCAGCTACGACATCCGAGCTGCAGGGAACAAAAACCGCCAGAAGTTCCTGTGTGAGGTGAGGCTTCGTAACACCCTGAGTTTATATATTCATATACACAAGCAGCACGTCGTTCTACAGTATCAACACAAAGTCAAAGACGTCAACTTTACTGTCCACCTTTGAGTTTGTGTGCACAGACAGAGAGATCCAAATACCGTTTCCCACAGTCCAGAATAAACGGCAACCCTCAAACATTCCTCTGTATATCTTATACATTTCTGCACAGCTCACTTTGAAATTCAGATATTTTCAAGTGTATATTATTCCTCTCACTAAATGTATGCACCATGACCCCCCCCACAGAGTCCTCCTATGTGTAAAAACTACTACAATAAATCTGATTCTGCAAAGTTAGTTTGATTAACTCGTTTAGATGGAGAGATTATTTAAAGGTCCCATGTCCTGCTTTCTGGTTCTGACCCGTCCCCTTGTGTTCTGTAGCTTCTGCATGTGACCGGTCTGCAGAGTCTCAGACCCTCAAGGTGCACCCTGTAGGGAGTAACACAGAGAACACCTGTCTCTGCTGCCCCAGAACGCCTCGATGGACATTTCTCTTTCTCCATTGTTTACTTCTTGGGTATAGTGACGTGACCAATCCGCGGAGCCGTTACGTTTGTACCAATCCGCGGACTTCCTCACACACACACACGTCGGGACGTTGCGAGGAGCGGGACACTGGTGTGGGGTCGGCGAGACACCGCAGAACTCAGCCTGGGCACACACACAAACTCCCAGCCAGGCTGCGGGTGTGTGTGTGTGTGTTCGGGCTGGGTTTCGCTGTCTCGCAGACGGCCACTGGGCTCACAGAGAGGGGGGGGGGAGGAGCTCCAACAAGCCGTGTAGGACAGAGAGTCAATACACAGACTATACAGAGATGCTGTTTGAGAAACCAATGTGAGTTTGGAACATTGAACAATGTAAATCTATCCTAGTAGACCTCAACAATGGAACTATGATCAGTAGAGATGGACACGGGACCTTTAAAGTATTCTCATGCGTTAAATGTTGTTGTAGTTTAATGACTTGAAAAACTCACAATCTATCTTTATTTCCACTTCTTGTAAACATGTTTCTTTTGTTTAATAGTTTTGAGAAGAGTTTTTGAGTTGCTATGTTCATGTGCACCAAAGCAGATGATCCATTTCACCTTTCTATTTATTTATTTACCAATTCATTATCAATACAGACAATTGATGCCAAAAACAAAGTCAGGTGAAGCTAAACAAATTATCCCAGAATTATTTTTCAGATTTGTCTTAAAATGTTTCTAATCTTTTTTAATATGAGTTATTTCTCAGAATTCAGATTGTTTTAAATTATTTATCTGAAATTTGTTTTTAATTCTTTCTCCAAAATCTGACTTTACTCTCAGAAATCCATTTTTTTTTTTTGTTGAACTCAATATTTCTTTGTTACTTTTGGTCACATGTGGTCCTAACCCTCTTCCGTTCAGTACATTAGCTTTCTGGCCCTCGGACATGGATATTACTCTGTGTTCAAACTTCAGCTCCTTCAAAATTGAGAAACAAACGTACAACAATCACATTCACTGCCCGACGTCGCAGAAACAAACAGCCCTCTCATGAGGCATCCGATTCCATAGATAGATATCTCCGAGTTTCCTGATGTCTTGCTTCCTGCGCTCAGGTCCGAGTGGACAGCTTCAGCTACATCGGGATGGGAAACTCCAGCAACAAGAAGGACGCTCAGACCAACGCCGCCCGAGACTTCGTCAACTTCCTGGTCCGCAGCGGAGAGATGAGCGCCGCCGAGGTCCCGGCGCCCGGGGTCAGTGCAACCATCACGAGGGTCTGGAAGTACTCACGTTAAACTGTGTCTTTAAAGGGCCCTCTCCCTCTCTCTGAACTCACTCAACTTTACTGTCAGTCTTTCAGTTTGTGTGTTCAGAGAGATCCAACACCGTTTCCCACTATCCCCAAAATAAATCAGAGTACAAGACGATATGTTTTAAATGATTGTGTGATCATTGGACGATTGGTTGAAGTATTATTTGAAGGAGGTGTTGTTCATCCAGATGAGCGCTGCAGCTGGAGATCAGCCTGATGGAGGAGCAGGAGGAGCAGAGAAGGGAGGAGCAGGAGGAGGCTTCGGGAGCCTCCCCTCCAGCGGGCCGCTGCCCCCTCACCTGGTGGTGAAAGCTGAGCTGAAAGGTACTTTGTCTTTCTGATTGTTTCTACGTCCCGTCCGACCGGGAGGAAGTACAACACATCATTTTGTGTTGTCGTTGCTAGAGGAGAGCGGGCCGGTGCCGGGTGTCACGGGACTCGGGTACTCCGGAGGAGGAAACTCCGGAGGAGGAAACTCCGGCTGGGGAGGAGGAGATGGAGGAAGAGGAGGAGGAGGAGGAGGAGGAGATGGAGGAGGAGGAGGAGGAGGAGGAGATTGGGAGCGAGGAGCGAATCTGAAGGAATATTACTCCAAGAGAGACGAGCAGGAGGCACAGGCGGTACGTCACTTCCTGTTTACTCCTTCCTGTCGGAGGACAAGCAGCTTAAAGGTCACCGTTTATGCAAAATGCACTTCTTCATGTCCTTTTATCTAAACGTATTATATTTTTTGCAGACTCTGGAGTCAGAGGAGGTGGACCTGAACGCTAACCTGCACGGGAACTGGACTCTGGAGAACGCCAAGGCCCGTCTGAACCAGTTCTTCCAGAAGGAGAAGTGCAGCGCCGAGTACAAGTACAGCCAAGTGGGCCCGGACCACAACAGGTCCGACCACAACGTGTGTGTGTGTGTGTGTGTGTGTGTCTGTCTGTCTGTCTGTCTGTCTGTCTGTGTGTGTGTGTGTGTGTGTGTGTGTGTGTGTGTGTGTGTGTGTGTGTGTCTGTGTCTGTGTCTGTGTCTGTGTCTGTCTGTGTGTGTGTGTGTGTGTGTGTGTGTCTGTGTGTCTGTGTGTGTGTGTGTGTCTGTCTGTGTGTGTGTGTGTGTGTGTGTGTGTCTGTGTGTCTGTCTGTGTGTGTGTGTGTGTGTGTGTGTGTGTGTGTGTGTGTGTGTGTGTGTGTGTGTGTGTGTGTGTGTGTGTGTGTGGTACCTCTGAGTGTGTGTGTGTGGTACCTCTGAGTGTGTGTGTGTGTGTGTGGTACCTCTGAGAGTGTGTGTGTGTGTGGTTCCTCCGAGAGTGTGTGTGTGTGTGTGGTACCTCCGAGTGTGTGTGTGTGGTACCTCTGAGTGTGTGTGTGTGATACCTCTGAGTGTGTGTGTGTGTGTGTGGTACCTCTGTGTGTGTGTGTGTGTGTGTGGTACCTCTGAGTGTGTGTGTGTGTGGTGTGTGTGTGTGTGTGTGTGTGTGTGTGTGTGTGTGTGTGTGGTACCTCTGAGTGTGTGTGGTACCTCTGAGTGTGTGTGTGTGTGTGGTACCTCCGAGAGTGTGTGTGTGTGTGTGGTACCTCCGAGTGTGTGTGTGTGTGGTACCTCTGAGTGTGTGTGTGTGTGGTACCTCTGAGTGTGTGTTTGTGGTACCTCTGAGTGTGTGTGTGTGTGCTACCTCTGAGTGTGTGTCTGTGGTACCTCTGAGTGTGTGTGTGTGGTACCTCTGAGTGTGTGTGTGTGTGTGTGGTACCTCTGAGTGTGTGTGGTTCCTCCGAGAGTGTGTGTGTGTGTGGGGTACCTCTGAGTGTGTGTGTGGGGTACCTCTGAGTGTGTGTGGTACCTCTGAGTGTGTGTGTGTGTGTGTGGTACCTCTGAGTGTGTGTGGTACCTCTGAGTGTGTGTGTGTGTGTGGTACCTCTGAGTGTGTGTGTGTGTGTGTGGTACCTCTGAGTGTGTGTGTGTGTGGTACCTCTGAGTGTGTGTGTGTGTGGTACCTCTGAGTGTGTGTGTGGTACCTCTGAGTGTGTGTGTGTGGTACCTCTGAGTGTGTGTGTGTGTGTGTGTGGTACTTCTGAGTGTGTGTGTGTGTGTGTGGTACCTCTGAGAGTGTGTGTGTGTGTGGTTCCTCCGAGAGTGTGTGTGTGTGTGTGGTACCTCCGTGTGTGTGTGTGTGTGGTACCTCTGAGTGTGTGTGTGTGTGTGGTACCTCTGAGTGTGTGTGGTACCT